ACGACTGCTTCAGTGGGCGCACGCATCCGACCTCACCAACCATCCGGGGGGCGCCAGGACGTTGGAGTTCCTGCGTAGGAGGTTCTGGTGGCCATCAGCTGAGGGGGATACGCGCGTCTTTGTGGCTGCTTGCCCGGTGTGCGCACGCACGAAGAGCTCACGTCAGCCCGCGGCAGGGCTGCTCCGACCCCTGCCTATCCCCAAGCACCCCTGGTCCCACATCTCGCTGGATTTCATTTCTGCCCTACCACCCTCTGATGGATACACAGTCATCCTGGTCGTTGTGGACCGGTTTTCGAAGGCTGCCCACTTCATTCCCCTTCTCAAACTCCCGTCGGCCCGGGAGACAGCTAAGTTGGTGGTGCAGCACGTTTCCCGGGTCCATGGCCTTCCCCAATATGTGGTGTCGGATCGGGGCCCTCAGTTCGCCTCCAGGTTCTGGAAGGCGTTCGCCATGTGCCTCGGCTCCTCCGTCAGCTTGTCTTCCGGCTTCCTTCCCAAGTCGAACGGGCAGACGGAGCGCGTCAACGAGGATCTGGAGGGGGTGCTGAGGTGCTATGCCTCCAGCAACCCAGCTACATGGAGTCAGCGACTGGCATGGGCGGAGTACACCCACAACACCCTTCTCTGCTCATCCACCAGCCTGTCCACCTTCCAGTGCCAATACGGGTACCAACCCCCCCTATTCCCAGAGCAAGAGGAGGAGGCGGCAGTCCCCTCGGTCCAGGCCCACATCAGTCGCTTTTGCCGCACCTGGAGGCAGGTACGGGCGGCGCTTAAGCACTGTTACAGGAGGGGTTCGCAGTTCCGGAGCGACCCACTTGGTGTCATCCTCCAACAAACTTAGGCACCTCCTCACTCACAGTCTGGACTAATCGTGACTAATCCTATTGGTGTAACCTGTGTCTACCTGTTCACCTGTGTATTTATGCCCTCACTTCCCTGTGTTCCCTTGCTCAGTTTTCTCTGCTAGTTTCTCGATGCCAAGCAGTACGAATCAGTGTCTGATCGCGAGACGAATGTACAGGTACTATTTTATCGTGACAAGTCCGTTATTTTGTCACCTGGCTTTGGGACCACCAGTAAAGATCCTTGTTTCACCATCTCTGCCTACTGCCTACTGTCTATCCTGCACCGCACCTGGGTCACACCTCACACCAACCCTTACATTTTTCATGGAAGATTCTTTATCTATAAAATGAAGTGGGCGGAGAACAAACCCCTCTTCACATTGTTTAAGATAGAATTAAAATATTATTTTGAAATTATCATTAAGTGTAAAAACAAAAAAAGGAATAAAACGTTTTGACAAATTGAAAATGTATCTTGATATGTAATACCCCTGTCTGTTAAGTTTATGTACAGTTGAAGTCGGAAGTTTACATACACCTTAGCCAAATACATTTAAACAATTCCTGACATTTAATCCTAGTAACAATTATCTGTCTTAGGTCAGTTATGATCACCACTTTATTTTAAGAATGTGAAATGTCAGAATAATAGTAGAGAGAATTATTTATTTCAGCTTTTATTTACTTCATCACATTCCCAGTGGGTCAGAAGTTTACATACACTCAATTAGCATTTGGTAGCATTGCCTTTAAATTGTTTAACTTGGGTCAAACGTTTTGGGTAGCCTTCCACAAGCTTCCCACAATAAGTTGGTTGAATTTTGGCCCATTCCTCCTGACAGAGCTGGTGTAACTGAGTCAGGTTTGTAGGCCTCCTTGCTCGCACACGCTTTTTCAGTTCTGCCCACAAATTTTCTATAGGATTGAGGTCAGGGCTTTGTGATGGCCACTCCATTACCTTGACTTTGTTGTCCTTAAGCCATTTTGCCACAACTTTGGAAGTATGCTTGGGGTCATTGTCCATTTAGAAGACCTATTTGCGACCAAGCTTTAACTTCCTGACTGATGTCTTGAGATGTTGCTTCAATATATCCACATAATTTTCCTTCCTCATGATGCCATCTATTTTGTGAAATGCACCAGTCCCTCCTGCAGCAAAGCACCCCCACAGCATGATGCTGCCACCCCTGTGCTTCACGGTTGGGATGGTGTTCTTCGGCTTGCAAGCATCCCTCTTTTTCCTCCAAACATAACGATGGTCATTATGGCCAAACAGTTCTATTTATGTTTCATCAGACTAGAGGACATTTCTCCAAAAAGTACGATCTTTGTCCCCATGTGCAGTTGCAAACCGTAGTCTGGCTTTTTTATGGCGGTTTTGGAGCAGTGGCTTCTTCCTTGCTGAGCAGCCTTTCAGGTTATGTCGATATAGGACTTGTTTTACTGTGAATATAGATACTTTTGTACCTGTTTCCTCCAGCATCTTCACAAGGTCCTTTGCTGTTGTTCTGGGATTGATTTGCACTTTTCGCACCAAAGTACATTCATCTCTAGGAGACAGAACGCGTCTCCTTCCTGAGCGGTATGATGGCTGCGTGGTCCCATGGTGTTTATACTTGTGTACTATTGTTTGTACAGATGAATGTGGTACCTTCAGGTGTTTGGAAATTGCTCCCAAGGATGAACCAGACTTGTGGAGTTCTACAAAAAAAATTCTGAGGTCTTGGTTGATTTATTTTGATTTTCCCATGATGTCAAGCAAAGAGGCACTGAGTTTGAAGGTAGGCCTTGAAATACATCCACAGGTACACCTCCAATTGACTCAAATTATGTAAATTAGCCTATCAGAAGCTTCTAAAGCCATGACATCTTTTTCTGGAATTTTCCAAGCTGTTTAAAGGCACAATCAACTTAGTGTATGTAAACTTCTGACCCACTTGAATTGTGATACAGTGAATTATAAGTGAAATAATCTGTCTGTAAACAACTGTTGGAAAAATTACTTGTGTCATGCACAAAGAAAATGTCCTAACCGACTTGCCAAAACTATAGTTTGTTAACAAGAAATTTGTGGAGTGGTTGACTCCAACCTAAGTGTATGTCAACTTCCAACTTCAACTGTACTCTTATTTGTATATTTCTGTTTTTGTATTTGTTTTGTTCATAATAATAAAATAAAAATATATATTTAAAAAATAAGATACTAACGAGTATCGCGATACTGGTATCATCCCAGCCTTACTATGAGGTCGAAATAACACTCAGAAATAGTGAAAATTATGTCCTTTTGTGTAAGAGCTGTTTGAAAAAGAAATCTGGAATATCAGCCTGTTCAGGTGGGATGGAACTTCTAGCCCACATCATGACATCACAATGTGATCTGATTATAATAGACCAATGACTGTTCATCTGGGTAAGGGGGTGGGCTCTAGACCATCTTATCAGCCAATCAGGGCTGTGTATGTAAATACTCTTAACAATTGTTTCCTAACGCCCACACGATCAAACTGAGCATTTCAAGGCCCAAAGGAGGCTCTGGGAAATAAATGATTAAAAATATATTTTGGCATTATTTTCATTAAATAAACACGCACAGTGATTTATTAGACATACAGCGATGATTTAAAAAATGTTTTACAAAGACTGCATGGGGGCTGTAATAGCTGTCCTTGGGAGAACCTCAATTGCATTTCCTTGATTCAACGCATCCTCTCTCCTCTCCATTGGATGAGAAGGTCAGAGGTCCTTCCCTTGTTTCCCCCATTCCTCACCTCCCTCTGAAAGCACATTGGGGGAGAGGAGTAAAGGTCCCTCCCCTCAGACTGCAATGCACTTTGAAGGAGAGGCAAGGAGTGGAGGAAACAAGGACAGAGGAAGCAATACATTTTTGTTTTTAGACACAGACTTTGCCAGATATGAATATGAAACCAGATTTCCATTTGCAAACCAGAGATATCACTGTCCAAACTACAATTGAACTCAAATAATTTTAGGTTTCCACCATTGATAATTCCTGGTTTTACTTTTCCTCTAAAGCTTGTTGTTACGTTATGTGGCTATTTATGAAATTCCCAAAATGAGAAACAGATCCACTCTCAGGAAGAGAGGTTATCCTGAGAAAAACAGAGAACTTTCCATGGCAGAGAAGCAGCAGTGTTTATTTTCATGGAAGGAATGTTTTATGACTAACAAAGGCTCAGTTTCAAGAATGGTTTATCGTCATAAGGCTGTCTTCTCTCTATCGCTCTTCTCTCTCTCCGCGAGATCTCTCTCTCTCCTCTTCTCTCTCTCTCTCTCGCTCTCTTCTCCTCTCTCTCTCTCCTCTCTCTCTCTCTCTCTCTCTCTCTCTCTCTCGCTCTCTCTCTCTCTAGTGTGCAACTCTAAAATAGAAGGAAGACAGTTTCCAGTTTCCAATGGCAAACATAACTGGGTTAATTACTGTGATCTTTACTGTGGCTTTTGTGGAAACATAAAACAGATGGTGAAAGGAACAACAAGGGGCAAAACTCTCAAACCCCATGGTTGTAGTATTTATGGAGATTTCAAAATGGCTGCCATTGACATGTTAGTTGCAGTGATTACAGTGGCTGTCACGTCTTTAGATGTAAATGAGAAAGGGGCTTCTGATTTGAAGCATTGGAGGAAACCGCATCCAGTTTTTCTATCCACCTGTCCTGTTCAATCTTAATCTCTGATCAATAATGACCCAGTAGCAATAGATGGGTTAGCTGACATCATCACAAAAACGATGCGCACGCTTCAATGGAGCAGAAGTCAGAGTTGTTATGATTCTGGATGGCCAGATACAGTAGCTACCAGCAATGACAAGAAACTGCCATGTGGGGAATCGTAGGGGACTCGTTTCAGCTAGTTTAATCTTGTTCTTGATACCATGTCTTGTTTTGAGGCATTTTGGCTGATTTAATGCTAATATGGCTCAAATTCGCTAGCTAGCTAACCAACAAGTGTTATGACCAACCCCTCTTGCCCTAACCCTTACCTTTCTAAAACTACTTCCTTATCATCAACTGACTGCTCTCTTTCAAATGACTGCTCTCATTCAAAATGTCTTTAGTGGACCATAAATTGAAAAATAGTTGCTCTCCCAACTCATATCTTTCTGTTTGTTAGTTGAAAGCGACTGACCTGGTACTTGATGCCAGACTTGAAGTAGCCCATGAAGGTGATGGACTCATTGTTCTGGACCTCTCTGAACTGGACCGGCCCTCCGCCCAGGAAGTCATCCAGCTGGGTGGCAAAGATGGCCGCCGCTCCGCTCTCATCCTGAGAACACTCATCACCTGGAGGGAAGAAAGAGAAGAGAGGAGAAAGTGACATCATCCACAGAGAAAGTGACATCCTCCACAGAGAAAGTGACATCATCCACAGAGAATCCTGCATATACGAAAGACTTGCTCCCAAGCATTTGTTAAAAGTGTTCTCATTTGAAATGTGGAGTACAATTCTTTAGCAATTGCTCCAAGCTAACGGAATGAGACTTCATCCCAAGGTTTACATACAAATAATGAGTACAATAAAATTATTATATTAGAACTGGTTTGATCAGATCCACCAAACACTCCACCAAGAACCAGTCAATCCTCTTGATTAAGGGTAAACATTGCTGTAGTTGGGCCCTAAGGCTCCAACATGGGGTTAAACATGGTTCAACCGTGGTGGGTGGAGTTGTTTGCAATTTTACATTGATCAGATCTGGATCGGGGATGATAGAGCATGTTAGATCTGTAAGGCCGCCGCCACAATAGAGAACTTAAGCCTTGTTAGCAAGGCAGCACATAAACATGTCCAGACCAGGCTTGTCTGTCTATTGTGGGTGGGTAAAAACTACCCCAGAACTGGTATGCCATGTGTGTGAGCACAGCTCAGCACGCACATTGGGTTCACTCTGGTTTGTCTTGTTGTAAAGTCAAACTGACAAACTAGAAGTTTATAGAGAGGAGAGATGGAGGGAAGTGAATACAGAAAGAGAAAAAAGAGACAGAGAGAGAGAAGGAAGGAAATGAGAGGAGAGAGTCTTCTAATTTGGTGTTGGCTTTCTTTGAAGATAAGTGCACTTGTATGTAGCCTACCATGCCCAGAAAGATCTTTAGCCAATTGAATTAAGCTAATAGACTAGACAAAAAAAAGGGGGCAAATAGAGTTACACAAATACATTTCAGTAAGGTACCAGGAAGGGGAGTTTCAACATCACTGTTATCATTGCCAAAGCATCATAGTGAAGTGTGTTGCTGGAAACGCTTTCTCATGTGGTCTCTTCACTTCAAACCAAGTGTGAGAAAACGGAACATTCTCTGCGCAAGCAATACCTGCTATATATAGATTTACCACAGTGTCTACGTGTAGATTGACAACAGCTATAGGGTGTTAGTGTTTACACACATACACACTCTGACACATGGAAACAACGTGTTTGACTCCGTTCCATTGATCCCATTCCAGCCATTACAATGAGTCTGTCCTCCTATAGCTCCTCCCACCAGCCTCCTTTGGTGTATTTGTCTGTGGGCGTATCTCTACCTCATCCATATGTCCATACTAGTCTGTCTATGTAATGTCTGCCAGTGACCCAGATCCAATATAACCAAATAACTCCTCTCTTTCTCAAAGTAAACATTGATCTAAGATGACTGGATGAAAGCAAGGTCTCCACTAGATAGCTTTCTCAAATCCAGTCCATGTCTGATCAGTGGTTACTTTCAGGAATGTGAGTATTATCAAAGCATTTGAATGGGAGTCAATGACATTTCTTCAACATGTAAAGAAATGGCTGTCAAGAGCCTAGTGTATGTAGTGTGTGTGTCTTACCCATCCACATGTGTATGTAGTGGGATGGGGCTGCGGTGGTGTAGAGGAGGATGTATGCGTCTCCTGTGAAGAAGTTGCCGTGTAGGGCCTTGGGGACTGGCTTCAGGTCCATGTTCTCAATACGCCACACCTGCAGCCCTGGCTCCTTCCCCGCAGCCTCAAACTCCTTGTGGGACACCATGATGGCTCTGAGAGAGAGAGAGAGAGAGAGAGAGAGAGAGAGAGAGAGAGAGAGAGAGAGAGAGAGAGAGAGAGAGAGAGACGAGAGAGAGAGAGAGAGGAGAGAGAGAGAGAGAGAGAGAGAGGGGGGGGGGGGGAAGAGAGAGAGGGAGAGGAGGGACGGAATAAAGGAAAGAAAAGAGAGAGGAAGAGAGAACATGATCATATCTCAATGTTCCTCAAAAATTGTGACAGTTTCTAATTTCTAACCTTTATCGTCACTGTATTCGTCATTGTATTGTCTGTTGTAATTTGACTGCATCTGCCATCTTTTAAATTAAAAAGACAGGCTGTAAGAGAGAAATGGACAGAGAACGAGAATGAGAGTGAGAGAGAGAAAGAAAGAGAGGCAGACCTGTCATAAATTTTGTATGGGGAAGCAAAGCTATCGCCTATCTCAACAGGGCCGCGGATAGGGTTTGTTAGTCTAGGGTTGTAGTAGTCGACTAACTAGGTTATAACTGAGGTTATAAATACCCATGTTATCTTGACCAGAGGACCATACCTCTAATCTAGGTGATCACTTTGTGAGAAGCGATTATATTTGAAGCACTAGATACCGAAATCATGAACATACTGTAGCTCTGTATGTGAAAATGTGCTACTTCCTCTGAAAGTAGTGGTGGCCTACTACAATGAAATTAGATTTGGCCCACAGGACAAGATTGTGGTGACATAAACCCATGACTGTGTTTGTTAGTGACAGAGACATGGTTGTTGCATTTAATAACTTATATTCCTGAAGCCTTCATCAAGTGACTCCCTAAGTGAATGTGTTTCAATTAAAAGTAAACCTTTTATGACCACATATTATACGTTTCATAAGGTCTTTAGTAATGGCCTAGTTATCCTCGACATTGTGGTCTGAAAATCCTGGCTCATGGGCCACATCAGACCTGGTTTGTGAAGTGATTATTAATTCCTATCGGAATCCACCCAGAGGGAGGATAGCCAACAATTAGAATATTTTATCACTCAGAATGAATGCTATGGTGAAGGACTTAACAAACAAGACTACCTAAACCATCTAAACTGGAACAACCATCTCAGTAACAGGTGCAATAAGTCCAACTACTAACAGATTGGATTAGTTTAGAAAAAAGTAAGTTATTCATCTTTGTATAATGTATAGTATAAGATCAATTAATCAATCAATGTGCATGAGGAAACATAGATATTAAAACAAACTATTTTTTAAAATCTACCTGCAACAAAGCATGCTAGGAAATATGAGAGGCCCCTCCCACATGTTTTTTACTCTGAGAGAGTTAACGGAAATGAACTCAACACAGTCGAGTAACAACAACACTACGCGATTGAAAATATTTCTTCAATCAAATGTCCTGTTCAGTTGTGCTGAAATATAGGTAAGGTGACAGACATTCCTAACACTGATCTGAATAAAAGGCATGGAAAGTCACATCAATTTCTAATGACTAAATACACTCTAGACAGGACGATGGGAAAGCAAACACTAGTGTTTAAAATCGGAACACTTCCTGGTTGGAAACTATCTGGAAAAAGCTGACTGTCATGTTTAATCTTGCATTCTCAACACCTGTGTTTAAGATGAGAACAATTATTGGCAAATATAAAATGCCTAATATTTAAATTTTAAAGACTGAGATTTAGGTTATAAACATGTCACGTTTCATGGTTTTATAGTGTAGAAATAGTGCACTCCTCTACCAGTAACCTCAGCTAACTGTACTTGCCTATGTATGAACTAGCTGTCTGTTTCTGCTCTGACTGAGATAGATGAGAAACTATCTTTGCACTCAATCAACAACACCTTGGGATGATGCAAATGTGTTAGGTGAGATAGTTATCATACACTCTAAAAAAGTAGGTGTTCTACAAGGGTTCTTCTAAGATCTTCAAAGTTCATTGAAGAACGTTAGGGTTCTTGGCACTGAAAATTGCACCCAAAAGGTTCTTCCAAGAACCCCATAGGAGGTGGGGTTCATCGAGGAACCTCCTTAGTTGGTGGGGGTTCTTGCAGGAACCTAACTGCCCAACTGAAACATTTGGATTTGAAAGGACAGCAGGTGCAGGCACTCAACTGAAAAATGTAAAGATCTCCTCAATTTAAGGTAAGGTTTGTCCCTTGTATGATCTAAATTGATATTGTTTTCTGATGACACTATCAATCTTTTCTTATTTGTGCAAATCTTTCTAAAACAGAAAATGGACACAATTCAATGGATATCAATCAACAAAGAGTTAAGAATATGTATGCTATAAGAATATGTTAAAGGATAGCTGTATTGGGTGCAGATGACTGAACTGCTCACTTTTGTGTCTGTGTCTGCAGGTATACATATGAGGAGGCATAAAAAGGTATATCAATTGGTATTGGTATGTTATGCAGATCAGATTTACCATGCTCCTCCCTTACCGCGTCAATGAATATCCCAAGGTATGTGTATGAAAACCATTATTAAAACAGTTTTTTCATTCACATTTACCACAAAACCAAGGTATGAATACTGTTGTGTGCATGTTTTGTTAATCATCTGTATAACTACAATTTTTTGGATTCACAGACTTCACCCTCCCTACACCTCTGATGAATATAACAGGAAACCTGCTCTATCACCATGCACTGCAAAATCACTCTGGCTATGGATATGGAGAACATCAACACATTAGTAGTTAAAAAATTTACCCCAAAAGGTTATTCAAAAGGTTATTTGAGGATCCTTTAAAATGGGTTCTTTGAAGAACCCTTTTAAAGAGTTATTCGAAGAACTTATAGGGGTTCCCCCACTGTTTCAGTTTGAAGAACCCCTAAAGGATCCTCCAGGAACCTTTACTTTTTAGAGTGTATCTACTGAATATACATTTGGTTGTCACTGTGCATGACCAAATATTAAAATACGTTTCTCTCTCACACAGACAGAAAGGAAGACACACAGGCACACAACTCAATGATTACATTTTTCTCTTCGCAGGGAATGTGTTACATAACAGAAGTAGCCTATGCCTGGAAATGTTATCAAGCCTAGTAACAACTTGTCCCTGCACGACTCTCTTCCACTATGATCGGCCTATTTACACTTAATTGACACAGCTGGTAAAATAAAGGCATTAGTTTGGCTTTTAGACAAAGTAAGCAGCTGAAGAGATCATGTTTCAGTCGATTTCGGTTCAAACTTGGGCTACACTCACCCTCCCTACAGACTTCACCCTCCCTACACCTCTGATGAATATAACAGGAAACATGTTCGATCACCATGCACTGCAAAATCATTCTGGCTATGGATACAGAGAACATCAACACATTAACATCAACACGACAGAGGATGTACCCATTGGACTTGGGGCTCTGCTGGGAGTTTACCTCATATTTAGATTTTTTTATTCTGCTTTGCCGCTAAAATCATAATAAACACTGACAACTAAAATATTGTGTTATTGTAGTTATTGTTATGCATATTATTATTATTATTATTAATAATAATGGGGGGGGGGGGGTAGTTCAGAAACGTACCCCAAAAGGGTCTTCGAGGATCGATTAAAAGGGGTTCTTTGAAGAACTTATTGGGGTTCCCCCACAGTTTAAATGTGAAGATCGCTAAAGGATACTCCAGGAACCTTTTCTTTTTAGAGTATACAAGAGAGGAATAGAGCGAATGCACTGTAAGTCACACATAGGAAATCATGTGAAACTTTGAGCAAAACTGTTGAAGAATAAACGCCAAACTTCAACAGGTCTACAATATATATTGCGCACGACAATTTTGACAAAGCTCGATATAAATGTAGGCGTAATAAAGTTTCCATAGGGACTATTGCAGGATCAAACAACAAGGTCTCGCAACAATAATAAAAATGTATTGCAACAACGAATGAAAGTCAACCAAATTATAATGCAAAATTCATTAATGAATATCAAAAGTAACTCACAGCTTGACAGATGTGTAACAGAGGATAAGATAATGTGTGTTGAGCGAGCAGAAGCAGATGTGGACGCGAATGCGACTTCTCTTTCAGATGCAAAGTGCCTTGATGAGGAACTTCTCTTTCAGATGCAAAGTGCCTTGATTGTGGGAGGGTTCAGCAGTTTATGGGAGCACCCTACTGATTGTTCAACAATCAAAGCCACGACATAAATGACTTGTACTATTCTATAAATGTAAATGTATAGTAGGCTCCACACAATAACCAGTTCAGTTCGTTAAACAAACAAGCAGAAACCATTCCCCCAAATCAAGTTACCAGCTCTCACCCACTGACCTCTCTCTCTCTGTGCACACCCTTAGAACAAAGGGTTCTAAAAGGGTTATTCTGCTCTTCCCATAGGATAACCCTTTTTGGTTCCATGTAGAACCTTTTTTGGTTCCAGATATAACCCTTTTGGGTTCCATGTAGAACCCTCTGTAGAAAGGGCTATACATGGAACCCAAAAGGGTTCTACCTTGAACTAAAAAGGGTTATTCAAAAGGTTATCCTATGGGGACAGCCGAAGAACCCTTAAAGCACCTTTTTTTCTAAGAGTGTAAAGAGATGTTTACACACTGTAAGATTCCCCAAGTTCACACTAGAAGTGAATAATAGGAGAGATATGTGCCTTGCACTGGTTGGGAAGTGCTATATAGCATGTGTTCTTGTGAATGAGGGTACACAACCCACAGGAGGAACAAACTCATACTAAGGCATGGTAAACTAAAACAGATGCTATGGGAAAGTAACATGGCCAATGCCAGTTTCAGTGCCCTGCCTTAACCAAAATACATTCCTTTCAAAATGGCCTCTGATGATGCTAAAAACTCAAGGAGCTGAAGGCTTCACTGTGAGAGGATGACTCACCTAATTTAGCACCAAATTCAATTTAACTTTTATTTCTGAGAACTGACTGTTCACTTCTTAAAGACTCCCTCATGATCTGCAGTGATTACAGTCAGTCTGGTAGAAACCCCTTCTGAAGTAAAAAATGGACCAGTTGATTTGACAACTTTAGATATTC